CGCATACGGAAGAACAGGACGGGTACGCGCTCGGGATACTGATCACCTGTTGCTCCGAATCGCAACAGCAGTATGTCGCCGACAAGGACACCTACGTGGATGCATGATGTGCGCTGGCCGAACACCATGAGCCAACGACACGCGTCGACCGGCTCGCCATCCTATCCGAAAACTTCAGCATGAAGTGGAACACCAAACAAGAGAGTTTAAGGCAGGTCCTGGACGATACGAGATCGTTCTTCGTAAGCTTCGCGCAAGCGGGGATACCATGAACGACTCCATGGTCGTCGACAGTCTGCTGGACATGATGCCGTGGTAGATGCGCGCTGTGACTCACCAAGTGCACTCAATGCCGCGGACCCAGAACAACAACCTCGCCACCGTTTGTGTTGTCCTGGAGGCCGCGTACAAGGCTGCCCTTCTATCGGGCGCCCTAAAGAACCCCAAGAGCCTTAACAACGACGATCGGGGACTTAACGTCGAAGTTAGGCCAGGCAAGTACAACTGCAAGCGCAAGGGCCACTAGGAGGCCGAATGCCGAGTCAAACGGCAGGAAAACACTGATGGACAAAGAAGGAACCTGCACTCATGAAGGATAATAAACAAATCGAGACGGGGAACTATTCTTTAGACGAAGACGTGTGGACGTACGCCGAATCGACGAGGACGCCGTGGACGTCGTGGACGCCGTCGTTTTCCACGCTGTCGACACCCGTGGCCGTGTACCGGTGGACTCCGGGGCATCGAACCACATGACGGGGGATGCCACCCGGCTGACAAACTTGGAAATGTGCGATCGAGCGGTTATCGTCGCCAACGGGGCGAGAACACGCGCGACCAAGATGGGAACAATGCGGATCACCACCGACAAAGGGGCAACCCTGGTCATGGAAAACGTGTTAGTTATCGACAATATGCCGTCCACCCTCTTGTCCGTGACAGCCATGATGCGCAAAGACCCGAAATTCGCCGACACCTTCAAGGCCAATGGCTGCAGCATCATGCACGATTCCGTACCAATCGCAACGGCAACGTTGGACCCAAGGTACAAGGTGTACGTCCTCGACCAAGCCACCGTCGAACACTGCAAAAGGGCCGTGACCAATCACGCAAGAAATCTGCAGACGATACGTCAGATCTCTGGCATCAACGAGTAGGACACCTTCCCGTTGCCGCGATCAACCGCTGCAGCTCGATGGGCCTTAGCACGCCGGGCAACTTACACGAGCCGAGGAAGAAATGTGAGTGCTGCGTCAAGAACAAGATCACGAAGACCTCACCTCCAAAGACGCACACGCGATCGTTCAAGCCTGGCGAATATGGGGTGTCGGACACCAAGGCCGATGAGAACAGCATCAGTCGGCGGGTGCAAATTATTACACAGTGTACGTCGACGCCGGTTCGGGCATGAAAGTCGTACGTTTCGTCAATTCCACTGACAGTGCCACCCAATACGACGCTTTGCGAAGATCATGGCGTGGTCCAAGGCGCAGACCGGCCGCAACGTCAGTGCTCCGCTCCGACGGCGGCCCCGAATACTCATCACCCACGTTCGCCAATGCACTGGCCAAGTGGGGCATCACGCATGAGACGTCTACAGCAACGAATCAGTGGCAAAACGGGATGGCAGAGCGCGCTCACCGGTCGATTATGGAAATGGCCATGGCCATGTTGTCCCAC